TATGAGAGAAAAATTTGAGGATAAGTCGGTAGCAGTAAAGCGTGCTCAAGACACATTACTAAGTCGGGGTGCATGTTAATCAGTGATTAACGCGAACGAGAATTTAGAGAAAGATTAAAGAGAGAAATGATGAACCAGTGAAAAATAGCTACCATAAAAGTGGAGATAGAAGAGAAGGCACAGTTAAGGGGTTTCGATGGGGGGTTTCGTCCTGGATCTGTCGAGCGACTAAGTCATTTATCACTTCTCATTTTCCCTCGTTAACGTCGAACCTTCTGGCTACGCGGAAGGCTGATTTACGAGTCGATATACATCGAACTACCAAATGTTTTCAACCGATAGATGCCAAAACCGACAATGATTTTACTATATATATACAAGAATTTTGATTTTACTATGATAAATATTGTATACCCTTAACACACAAAGATTTGATCTAATAAATTTGAAAGAAAGATCAAACAAATTCTACGATCCAAGTAATCCTTTAAATCCTTAATGAAAAATCTTCTCTACTCGTAATAACTTAAATTTTATGTTTAATTATTTTCAAGGATCATTTTTAATAAAACACCGTTAAAAAATAATTTTAAACTTGTAACCGTAATTAATGTTAAATATTTTATATGCCGTTGCTTTCATTAAGTTTCTCATTCAATAATTAAAGTTTATAATTTATCGATAACTTAAAAAACTTTCACTAAAGTTAACGAACTAATCGATAAAACTTTAGAGGGAATACGGTAGATTTGTGTTTTTCTTTATTAGATTACTTTCATATAGTAAAAAGATATAGTTTAAACCCCCATCTCTAAAGTTCCATTTACTTTGAGAATAACATAAATAGATATAAGAACGTAAAAGATGAAATTACACGAGAAACATTAATCTACGTTCCTTACTTTCCTATCAACGATCGATATTACATTAGGAAGGACGATTTACGAGTCGATACGTCAAATTTTCAAGAACGATCTTATCAAGTATCCAATGATTGACTAATCTATTCTGTAAGACGCAACTTAAATTAGACTTTCTGAATCTAAGAGCAATGTAAGATGAAGCAAATTAGAGCAAAAATATCCAACCCTTTGACTTCGTTGAATTACATGTAAAATAAAAAATAATTTTAGACCGCACATCAAAAAATATAATAATTTTTGACAAAAATAGTTGTTGAGTAAAAAAATTATTAAATTGTTTAGAATCTTTGTTTTAAGATATTGACGCTAATATGTACCACACGTGTTTCACATTAGATAGTTTTGTACAAAACGATACAGAAAACAGCGTCGTCGTCAACATGTTAAAAGGAAGTTTATGATTTTATGATACGTCGCATTCATCACGAAACGTCATTCATTTATTATTGCATGTGTTGCACGCGGGTTGGACAGCTCCGAGTAAGTGAATAAGAGAAAGAGAGATATATTTCAAATTTGAGAATTGAAAGTGAAGACACAAAGATTGGAATAGACCGGAGTTGATCAGCGAAAATATGTTCGCCGTTATCGAAGTTATAAATCAAAAGAATCGGAAACTACGATCTATGGATAGTAACCCTATTAAATTTGATCATCATCGTTGCCGAAAGTAAGCGTACCGGATATCCGAGGCAAAGTTTAACAAAGATAGAAGAAACTTTAGCACGCGTAGAGAAGAGCTCTCCGACTGTCTTCCTTATCACATAATTTCGAAAAACTTCAGCACTGGTTAGTCCTCGCAAATTGCTTTCTCTTCCTATAGTTTCGCTCTTATTTATTCTTTTTTCTTTTCAATTAAAACTTTCTCCTTTATAGAAGTATTCTCTTTTTTTTCGGGAGAACAAAGCGAGACTAAAGAATAGTGTACGATATATATATATGTATATTGTATACAAGTTTAAAAAAAATTGGAGTTAAACCTGTATTACATACTAATGAGGCCAAGTAGATAAAAAAAATAAAAAGTTCGTAATAACTTAAATATATATAATACATATGTCCGAAAATGTTGTTCTTTACAAAAAAGTTATGAACGTTCTTATAAAAATACAAGTAAAATTGATCCTATAACTTATATAAAATTGTAGAGAAAGACAAATAATTCTGATTATAGCGTATATATTTATACGCTTTTAAAACCTATCCTTTATGATGTTTGTTAAAAAGAAAAAAGACTTTTTTTAGAAATGTATTCAAAATCTATTTATGTATTACTACTTTTTATTCAATAGAAATGCATATTCGAAAAAAAGTTCGATAATTATTAATTCAACGAATGGAGATCAGTATATTTGAAGAAAAGAATTTTTAACTGCCATAACAATTGATGAAAATCTTTTCGGACGCTTATAACTTTTCAATAACACATTTTTTAATATAAATTTATAACAATTTTTTCTACCAACTCGACTTCATTAACACATATTATGAATTTGACCTAAATCCTTGAATATCTTTTTTATGTTACATCTATATATATTTTACTTAAAAAATTAGTACATTTTAATTCGAAGAATGAATTGAATTGAAGTTATCTGAACTTCAGCCTCCTTTGTTCCCATTTTCACTTCTTCTGTTTGGCCTTTCATCGATTCGTCGCGTGAATCCAGTACGTTCGCATTTGAATCTATGTTTTTTTAAATACCTACGACACTAATTTAGAATTCGGTACGAAGTCAATTAAATTTCTAGAATAATTATTTCGAAGAGTAGATACCACTCCCGATTTTATCGATAAAAAGGGAGTGGCAATGAGAAATATATATTTTATTTATTTTTACTTATTTTATGTATATATTTAAATTTATATATATTTAATTATTTATGTATAATATATGTGTATTGAATATTTTAACTTGAAGATTCTAAATTTGATAACTCCATCTTTGAGAATAATTCTCATAATGAGATTTGCGAGAGAAACGATGAAACGATCTTCATGATTTCACATTGAAAAAATAAAATTCTAACGATTAGGACTTTTTTTTATATCAGCAGTAAAAGCAAAAAATATTCTTTCGAGAGAACCAATTGACAATTTGAACTCTCAGGGCAGTGCTTAGAGATACAGTTTATCGTGAATCAAGTCCACAAAATCGACCAGACGATTCGTTTAATTCCGACTTTAGGCAATAAAATATCTGTTTATCGTACACTTTTTTCTTGAACAATAATAAGATTTGATTTTATCTCTGTTGTAGTTAAAATTTTTCTTTTCAAAAATGCAATAATAAATAGTTAAAATTAAATAAAAATTTAACATTCAAAAACGACTCAATAATAAATATAAAATAATAATCATAATTAAATAAAAAGTACCCTAAAGAATTATGAAAAATATTTATAACGTTTCAACATTAACCGTTTGACTCCCAGGGGGTTTTGAAAAAACACTGTCGAGGAATCCCAAACAGCGCAACTGCGCTTTTTCTAAATGAGTAAGAGAAGACCCAAGCAGCGCGATAGCGCTACTTGTATGCATTTGTTTTATATATATGAGCGCACCGTCAGTTGTCTACAATGCTCGAAATGTACTGGGTTTTTTCAACATAAAATGTGAACAGCGCGATCGCGCTGCTTGGGACTCAAACGGTTAAAATAATTACAATAAAATATTATTTCAATTGGACTTGAATTTTCTCATTCAAAACGATATATATCGATCAATAATAATTCAATATTTAATTCAAAATATAATAAATGAAGATAAAATATACGATATCTATGTGAAATTAAATGAACAAATAGAAATCGTTTAAAGGGAAATATCCAAAATAATATGAACCGGCATACAGTTTATTCTGAATAAATTATGTCAGAAAAGATGCACGATATCAATATACTTTCTATGCATATATTCATACATATGTATATGTACTATATAACACGAACCGTTCATCGAGTATTACATGGTGGACCGATTAACGACAACTGTGGTTATATTATTGAAAATAGAACGCGGTCGAAGAGAAGGATATAGCGACTACGTGCGACGCGCAGCAGAAAGAAAGATCAAAATAACGTGCGAGAAAAATATAAAGAAATAAAGGCCGAGAGATTCGATGTAAAGTATAGTGAAGCTCTATTTTGGCATTCTCAAAAGCGATGACAACGGAATTTTGTCGTCGCATTTGGTTTCCGGCATATGGCAGGAATTTACGCACGTTTATCAAATCGCCAGAATGATCATCGTATTATTGGAACTTTTCCATCGTCATGATTTTCCAACTAACGAGTTAAATTCTTCTAACCAAGTTTAGAATTTCGTCTAACCTTTCTATTACATGATAATAATAATTAAGAGATATTATGTTCTCGTTCGAAAGAATTCGATAACAATAAGAAAAAAAAGAACAACATACAAAATAAAGCTAAATTTGTTTTAATGACGTCACCGATGAAGAAGAAAAAGAGATATCCTATATCGATAGAGAGAACAAATAAAAGTAAAGATTTCAAAGCGATAAAAGTCGAACTCGTCAAAAATCGATGTACGAACGAGAGAAGATTTTCTTCGAAAATACGAGAACCATCCTACTCCCTTTTTTTTATTTTTCGTTAATAAATCTCTATTACTTAATCCTTACAATATATCGTCAGGACATAAAAGATGATAATTATTCAAGGATCAGCCTATAATCTCGTGTGTGTGTGTGTGTGTGTGTGTCGTATCATTGTAAGGAGGAAAAAGGAACGCGTTATTTAAGACAAGAAATGTGTGTTTTTTTGTGCTATTTCATTTTGATAGAAAAGAAACCGTAGAGGTCCATTTGCTAGCTAGCTAGATAGCTCAGCTCACACCCTTGTCTCGTTGTACGGGCTCGAAGTGCTCGCGCCTTGACGACGTCTGTCCTCGCCTGGAAAGTTGAACGCGACGTTCGGCACAGTAGTCGGATCTACTAACTGGCTAGCCTGCGGATTCTGGCAGGTTGTCTGCGATTGGTGAGAGTGGGAGGAAGATGAGGGTGGACCCTCGCTTATCGAGGTTGTTGAGGCAAGTATACGCCGACCGCGTACCTGGTAACGCTGAGGGTAGCAGCGACCGCAACAGGAATGCAGGAGGCCACCTCTCGAGGCAGTGCTATGGGCAGGTGACGTCAGTGGTGACGGTGAACCTGGCCTCTTTGGGGCACCATTATAGGGCACTTCCATTTCCACGAACTCACGATCCTGAAATCATAATACATTTTATTTTTTAATTAATCTCCATACATTACACTTCGATAATAATAATGATCAACATTGAAAGTATATCAGGTGCGCTTTTACAACACAGTTTTGCAGTTATATTATCACAGTATACGAGCACATACATAAAATATCCTATTTCTAATTCAACACCCAAATATTTTTTTTTACTTAAATGGTATGAGATAGTATTACGGGACAAAATTGCATCGTTCGATTGGATAAATACGATAATATACAAAGTTTTGTAGGAAAAATATGTAGATGCTGGGTTTTAAAATAGACGTCCTATATTATCGTTATTTAGGTTGATTACGTACGATACGTTGAAATGAAAACAGGTACGTATACTCACAGAAAGAGGAAAAAATATATTTAAACAATTACAGAACATGACCCGAAAATGATTGACCTTATTTTATTTCTTTGAAATAAAAAAAAAAAGAAGTATATCTCATTGTCGATAAGATAGTTTTCTGTCTCATCGTGATTTAATTGTTAACCTATAAAATATTTTTTTTACGGTAAGATATGAAACTAAAATGTCACAAAGCTGACTCATTGATATCGAGAAATATAAGGATTTTATTAAATGCTCTAACAATGTGACGTCGTTGCTTTGAAAAGGATCGTGGTTGATGGGAGTTCTAACGATATTACCTACAGTGCTCGCGCAGGGAAGATAGGAATGACGTAACCTTTGAACTTTCGGAACTTTCACAGCTCGTTGGGAATTATGACCACTTTATCTCTGTGTAAACCGATATCTTCCTACGGAAAGCTTAAGTGTCATTTTTAACTTTGAAAGATTAATATGCAGGGTGTTTCGAAATTCCTATTAAAAACTTCTAGGACTTGCAAAGAAGACTAACCATAAGTATATAAAGTTCTGAATGAGAGTCCAATCCAGAAACATATCGTTCTATAAGTAAAACAAGTTCAAATCAATATTTAAATCTCTCACTTTTACGGAGTTAAAGAGCATTACATACTTAAATTCCGTTTCCAATAAAAAAATTTTCCAATTTTCCTGTACGAAAAAGACGTTTTATCCAATATCATATAAAATGAAATCATAAAATAGTCTACTACTAGAGCTAGTCAATGTGGCAACTACCAACTTACAGTTAGTAACTCAATGAGTCACTTCTCAGATTTTTTTCAAATTTTGCACACTTGTAGTAGTTCCTGCGAATATTCATTGTACATTTAAACATGGAATATATTACGTATATACGGGAACATAACTATTTCTATTCAAAACTTTATCTATTCACAAGGGACAGTACCCAGGTGTGTTCCACCATTTTCAAATCAAAACTTATAAGCAACTTTTTTATACAATTATAAGGATTGTTGCTTGCATAATATGTTATTGATATCATTTATAAAATTGTTACATAGGTTTTGAATCAAAAATAATTAAATACTTTGGGACCTTTCCTTGTAAAAACTCCGACGAAAATTTTAAGAATCTCAAAACTTCTTTAGAAAAATCGTCTTTTAAAGTTTCGTATTTTATATTCCGCAAACTATGGTAAAAAATGTAGATAATCTTCCTAAATATAGTAAATCAACATTATTGATCTATAAGTTATGTTCGAGACCAAAGATATTTGTTACTGACAAAAATTGTATTAACCATGAAAAACGATATCATCGATCAAAGCTGAAACTTTAGATGTCATAATGTAAAACATTTCTGGCAAACTTGAATTACGTTTACCCAACAAACATGTCATAAGTCCTCATGTAAAACAGCTGTTCCCCGTTATTCCACAAAGTATATCCATACACAACGAGATAATTCAATGGCGAATTCAAGCCAAGGTTATTTTTCTACTAAACGGAAAGGAAAATTATGGAAATTATTGGTTTTAAGATACCTTAATCTGACCAAAGATAACATATCAGACATACTCATCTCGTTCGATATTTAAGCATGAAACTTTTTTCCTCGATACGAAGACGACCTCGTAGAAACGAATATACATGATAGTATTTTATACAAAAAGAAACAAAATTTGTTCTCGAGAGACTTCTTGGTTGCTTCCAACGTCGGTTGTACGGTAAGTTAACAAAAACTTTTTTTTGAACATTTTACTGACGAGATTGTAGCGCTGTTCCATTCTGCGGGATCAAATCTTTACTAGAAGCTCAGAAGCTCAGTAGGATATGATTCCCGCTTGAACGATATAAAGATCATTCGATAACCTCTCGTATTCTCGCATTGGAGCTTTCTCGCTGGATTTCTACGAATATCAAAGGTATTTTCTTATTCYCTTTCTTTCTTATTTTCTCGTTCGTTCGAACTCGCTAACAAAATACGCGATGAACTTTTCAAATTTTCAAGAAATAATTTTATATATACCCGAACGGTACTACTTATACTACATCTATAAAAAGAAATCTCAAGCAATGGCATTATTTATGCGTTTATTCGTAGCTAACATATCGGGCTTTCGCAAAAATGCAATTCGATAGCTTGGCTTTCTAATGTAATCGATCGGAAAGTTTTCTATCTTGAGCTTACTCCAACGAACTTACGCGTACCGATATATATATACTTATTCTCTTAAACTTTAAACTCTAATTAATATTGATCCTTAGTATTGGCGTAAAGAGAAATATTTTTCTTGCCTTTAAATTCTATCCTAGCAAAATATATTCATGAATTTCCTTTCTCAAAATAGCGTTAACTTATTCAAGTGTTTCATTCATACGCATTACTAATTTTTATTAACGATACCATTGTGTTTTCTTTTTTAATTAAGTACATTTTAATTTTAAATTTGTCCACAAATTTCACATTTACCATAAGTTATATCGATTAGAAATTAATATTTTTCACTAATTAGTTATTGCAATCTCATTGAAAAGTGTATACCTTAATTGTGTTTTCAAAATGAAGCAATTTTTTTTTCTTTATTTACGTGTACTTACATATATTCCAAGAGATTGCAATTGTGATCAGAATATTGTTATAGATTGCAGATCATGATATTTAACTGTTATTTCTTTTACTTTGTTTACATAAAATAAAAAATCATTTCATAAAGATATCCGAACGTAGAAATAAAACATTCAATTTTAAGAATAATAGCGTTATAAGAAAATTTTTGTCCTTCTTTTTTATCCCTCTATTCGTTATTTTCTTCGAAGTACCACCTACCATTCCCCTCATTTTCTGTACAAATTCGAATTCGATAAATTCATTCAATCATAAACAAGTAAGATAACAAGTGCACAGAGAAAGAAAATCTTAGGAAATACAATATGCATAAAAAGATATAGTCTCGTCAAAAATTTCATCGGATAAGCGAAGAAACGAAAACTTTCTCAGAAGAACAAGACAATCGTTGACGGATTACACGACGCCTTTCAAAAGATTGCAAACTTGAGAACTTACAGAGACGTAACCAAGACGGATATGCATTCTTCATTTTATAGAAACTACGATGAACTTTTATAAATCCTAGAATGCTTTCATTCAAGTTTGTAAATAACTCGTTTCACTGAATCGTATCAAGCAACATTACTCGAATCATAGAAAAATATCGTATTTGTCATAACCCTTTATGCGCTCGTGATTTTTTTTCTTTGATTGTCTTTCTCTGTTTCTTCTTTCCGATATTAATATTATCATTTGTGTAACTTTAAAAGTAAAATTTAAAATCCTTCAAATTGTTAAATTTTGTAAATAAATTGTTACTTGTGTAATATTTTAATTGAGTATCTACAATTTATCTTTTATGTTATAAAAAGTCATATTTTTTTTATCGATTAAAAGTCAATGTTTAATAAATATATTAACATTTGTATGCAACAATAAGTTTGATTGCTTTGAACAGGATATGAAAATTTGATTTCAATGTTCTTTAAAATTTATTTACTGAATCTCGTCCCTTTCTTCTACCATCTAGATAAAATTCGTCTATTTTCCAAGTTACTACTTGTGTGAACTTCTTACAAAAATATTCGGAGAAACTGACTGAGGCAAAGGCTGACGCAGAAACATAGAAAGATACGGTTGATAGATTCGTATTGGAGCATTCATTTATTCGTTTAATGTAAGTAAATTCTTTCAAAAAATGGCTGCCCGAGTGAATTTAATATCGGTCAACCGGAAATAAAGATTCGTGGGAGGAAAAAGTACGCAGGAAAAACGAAAATAGAAAAAAGGAATGGAAAGAATTGGAACGGAGAAATGAACTGGACACCGGGCTACGGTTTTATCGAGGCAGAAAAATAAGGACGAATGGAGAGAACGAGCAATAGAGCCTTGCTTCATTTCTCGACCCTATGCTGATTAATACGATTCAGCATAACTTTTATTTTCAAGAATGAAATTATTGAAAATATTAAAAAATGTTTCAAGAAATCCCTGTTGAAAATTAGATGAAAGACGATTATATTCAAATCTTTAACAATATTAACAAATATTACTAATTATATTTAACAATTATTAATAATCCTTAAAATAAGATAATTATTAGACCGTTTCATTTATTAATCGTTAATTCGTCATTTTAATTAAAACTTTCGAACAATTCAACGAAATATTTACTGTAGATATAAAGATAAATAAAAAAGCCAAAAAAATGGATCGATTAACGGTATACTAGCTCAACAAAACTTAACTCGCATTTTAATTACGTAGAGTAGGTGCTAGAAAAAATCGGTGGAACACTTTTAAACATAGAGGTACAAAACCGTAGAGTCGTCAAAGGCCCGTCCGTACTTTCCCTCCGACATGAGATAACTTTGAAGCAGCCTTTACGACGTGACAAAGTCATTCAAAGACCCTCCCTCCTTCGTTTGCTACCTTGCTTGTTATAATAGTGATAACCGAACGAAGCCGAAGCAAGTCTCGAACCAAGCCGAGCCGAATGAAGCGGAACTTAAAACCGATCGGCAACGTGCTTCTTCCACGACGATTGCGTTCGATGTGCCACGCCAGATGGAAAATCCGTGTTCCGTAT